TATCTTCATTTTGTACAGTTAAAAAACAGTTTGAACATAAATTAAATTTGATCTTAAACATGTTAAAGATATGTAAACTATTATTTGGCAAACTCTTCCAGGGTATAAGACCAGAATATTTAAATGTTCAGAATTAGGTCTTGGTACATTAAGAAGTCCTGATGTTGTAGACCTGAACGAACAATTATAATGATCAGTACAAGCAGTAAATTTATTAGATAGAAAATCAGGTGTTAGCCCATTCATACATTTAAACATTAAGACAGCCTGAAAATATTGTATCCTCGTACATATAGTCATCCATTCAAGCTTTTAAAACATTAAAGTTGATAGAAAATCAAAAGAAGCAGAGCAGATAAAACTAATCTTGCAGCACGTTTTTGGAGCTTATGAATCATTTCCAGATTAGTTTGTGGTAAGACCCCATACTGTACAACAGTAGCCAATACTGGGTAATATATAGCTATTGTAAAAACAGAATAAGACCCTTTATTGGTAAATAATTTTTCTACTTTTTTAACAGGTATATTCTAGTTGAAATAATTTCACATATTTTATCAATTTGATTTGACAATGACAGATTTATATCGATATGGATTCCAAGAAGTTTTCAACTTCAACATTATCTAAAGCGATATTATCTTGTGATAAAACACATAATAGATATAAGAAGATGTGGTATGAGTGCCAATGAGACAACTCTCAATCCAAGTCAAAATTTTAAAAAGTAAACCATTATAGGTCACATTACGGTCTTCAACACAAAACATTCATTGCAGCTTTCCAGTGTTCTGTCTTATCCAACAAGCATACATTTTGATTTCATGTTCACACAGAACCATTCCATTCTACCAATTACAATTAAATGCTTAATCCATGAAAACGGGGTATAAAAATGCATAAGTAAAATGGTAAACAGGAATACGACAATACGACAAGTAACAGTACACGTAAACCTAGATTGAGGATCACAAATTGCGCTTAAAATGGGAGTGAACTCATGTGTTCTGGAATTGGTCAGCAGTTCCTATTTTACCTATGACTCCGTCTTGTCACAATGTTGTCACAATATGTTGAGGAGTCATATTCGGTGAGAAAACAGACTGTGCATTGTCGCTTGTTTTTAAAGATTGTACATAACCGTATTCATAAACCATGTCAATGTGGATACTTTAACTTAAAACCTGTCCAATAGAATAACCAATTTAATGTGAAACAAAGTTCAGAAAGACTGTTATCGATAGACAATAACAAATTGTCACGTTGAAAACTTTATGCTATGAAATTATGTTTTTCTTCGACTTACAGTTTTTGATTGTCCCATTGGTGTCTTTTCCCTCTTTAAAATCAACCTTATCGTTTTGTTTGTTTGTTTGTTTTTTGTCCTCCGTGAACTTTTTTGAAGAGTTTTAACTTTTGTTTACTACTATGCACTTGTTTTCACTGCATGTAGAATGCTAGTTTATATGCATATAAAAGGAATGTAAAACATTACGAGCTATTTGACCTTTTGGCGTGCTAGGTATTTATAAATCCCGCCATTGTGTTATTGTGCTATGGTCATTTTTTGTATTCTTGTCTCACATGTATGCTTATATGCTTTGCCCATAAAGTGTCTATATGTCATTTTTGTACTGATGTACTCCAATTTTTGACATTTTTACCTATTATTTCAGTTTGTTTTTCTTACACATTTTTATCAAAATAATCAATATAATAGAATTCTATGCAACTGTCATACAAGTGAGAGGTTAAGATAGCGATAAAACCAGGTTTAAAGCAATATTTTCTACATAATGAAATGACTGTACCAAGTCAGGAATATGACAGTTGTTTTCCATTCGTTTGATGTGTTTGAGCTTTTGATTTTGCCATTTGAAAAGGTATTTGTTTTGTTATGAGTTCGGTATTCTTGTTATTTTACTTTTCACCAATATCTTCCCAGAATTCTCAGCTTTTTTTCTGAGAACCCTTGGTTCAATAGTTTCCTTGTATTGTAAGCAGTAACTCTTTATCAAGTTAACCATGAAAGAAAAAGCAAGATTCAACTCGGGGAAATATTCTCCATATGCAATGATGCAGGCGCGTTGGAATGTTGCTACATAGAAACGGAAAGTTCGGAATTTAAATCCTGAAATCCCCCTTTTCTCTTACAGAAGAGTTATTTATCGATCCTTTTGATAATATTCAGGTATGAGTTTATATATGAAGTAGACTAAACGATATCTTTGGTAATCTTTTTTTAATGGGATACATGCGTACAACAAAGTTAATAAACTTGCAATTATTTTAAGTGATGACATCACCTATATAGCGGAACGGCATGTTAATAAATAATACGCTAGCTACCTCCATTGAAAAGCTCATGTGTGCAGTTTGCCTCACGTCAATAAAAGAACAAATGGTCAAGAAAAGGAGCACAGTTTGTTCCAATACGAATGTCGATTGTCTCCTGAAAAAGACGTCATATGAACGTAACGTATAAAAAATCCTTACGGCCTGATTTCCGTAAATAATAATAAACGATGTGCAAATATAATATAAAGCAACACACGATAACCATTGAAAAACAGGCTCCTGACTTGGAACAGGCACATACAGAATGTTATATGGGGTTACATGTTTTTGGGTGACCTACCCTCCACAGCATATGACAGTGGTGTAACAGTGCAACACCAGAACAAACTATAAAAATAATTTATACGTTCAGTGTATGTATTGTTTTTGTTAATATGTCTTTTGATTGAGTTAAGAAATTTCAATTGATATTTTATAGTGTGTCTTTCTATGTTGTGATGTTACACTATTGTTTCAGGTAGAGTGAATGTTGGCGCCTATTAAAACGTTGAAACCGCTGCATTTGTTTGCACCTGTCCTAAGCTAGGAACCTGATGTTCAGTGGTTGTCGTTATTTGATGTGGTTCATAAGCGTTCTCGTTTCTCGTTTTTTTATATAGATTAGACCGTTGTTTTCCTATTTTAATGGTATTACATTAATCATTTTTGGGGCTCTTTTTAGCTTGCTTATCGGTGTGAGCCAAGGCTCCGTGTTGAAGGCCATACTTTGACCTATAATGGTTTACTTTTACAAATTGTGACTTGGATGGAGAGTTGTCTCATTGGCACTCATACCACATCTTCTTATATCTATTGATAAATTAGATTGACACAACACCAGCTAACAAAAATATATAAGACACAAAGTATCGATATCGATATGAGTGTTATCGCAATTATTGAAAGCTAGTTCAAAGACCAAATAAAAATCATGTTTCTAAGACAAAACATCCAACAGTACACATCAAATGAATTTAGGGTAAATACGCCATAAACAGGCAAAGAAAACATGATCGTGTGCAATGCAAAAATATAGGTGTCGACAGAATGTAGGACCACAGTAGATGTTCTTAACTGCATAGCAATATTATTTTTATCATGTTAGCAGCTACCTCTGATCCCTTTCAATCCCGACCAATGGAATTCCAAACAAAACAAACAGTCAACAGTATTAAAACTCACCGACAACACAATCAAAAGTAAAATAGCTATACAAAACACTACCAGGCTTATGATTTTGCTCGGCAAACGCGTTGTCGGTTGTCATAGCGAGCTACTAGAAATGATCATTACAGTTCATGAAACAAATCAAATGTATAAAAAAAGAATTATTATGGATATTTAAGTCTATATATTTATAAACAGATTTTTCAAGCGTCGCCTAAAATATTTTGACAGTGAATACATTGACGCAAAATACACTTACTGTTTCAATATGGTATAATGTTCTATACTATTGCCAAAGAAGTACAAATCAAATAGTCAAGATTTTGCATTAATGTGCCTTTTACCGAATTAAATGTTATTACATGGCTGTATAAAAAAGTGTATATTTCAAGCAAAAATAGCATTGTTTTATAAAATAACGTACGTGCAAACTTCAGCTTAAAAAATCCGGCTATTTGATTGTAAGGCCAATTAGTCTCCAAATCATAACTTGGCTAAAAAAAGGTGGGATATAAAAAAGAAAGAAAACAATTTCATTGCTTTAAAGTTCTAAGTTGGAAATCAAAATAAATTTTCAATAACATAATGTAAGACCCAACAGTAACAGTTTAAACCTGGCTGTGTCATTTAGTGTATATAGATTTATAGAAAGATGTGAAGGTCGCCCTTTAACTTGTTTGGTTTGTTTACAACATAAGCAAAAATTACTAGTTTGAAAATAACGTCTTTTATTCAATTTCAGCCAGTTAGAGTAAACTTCCATATCAGAGATGTCCCATCTCCTCAAATATCATAATATTAAATATGTTACTGAAGACATTTAACGACATTTAGCTTTTGATTTAAATTAATTTCAATTCAAAAGAATCGATTTATAGTAGCACATCTTCTTTTTCCTTCAAATGTTTATGTTTCCTATCGAAGGCCGCTGTTTTTTCCAGGTACTCTGGAGTCCTCAGCCAAAACCTGCCTGTCACAATATAGCCAAGAGTGCTGAAAATGGCGACAAAAACAATAACCAAATCAATCGGACTTCAGAATCAAATATAAATAATTTTAAGAAAAAATTTGCAAAGGAAAATTACATTTGGAAAATTATTAAAAAATAAATAAAGATAATCGGCTTTGAATTTATCAACATGTATATAACATGATCATGTAGTCATTGTCAAAATGCCTGACCCCATGACACGCTATATTCTTGCATACAACATGTAATTCCAGTTCACCAAAGTTATAGAGAACCAGTGTAATTTATTTAAATATCATATGGCAAATTTCAGTAGTTTGAAAAAGAGCTCTTCTTTACGGAGTATAATAACCTTCTTTATATTTATCAAGACAAACAATAATATTTTCCTTCCGGGAAACAATAGATTTGGATTGAAAAATATCTGTGTCATCATTAAATAGGAAACAAAACAAATTATTAAGGTTTAAACACGTTTCCGAAAGGAAATTGACATAATGTATAAATAATCAGTCAAATTGTTTTCATACACCTTTAATCTGAAGTGCTCAGTTAAGCTTTTAACTTGGTAAGTTATTATGTAAATTAATTATCGTAAACCTTTATACACCATGTTATATATTTCAATGCCTTATTAATATTACAGACACATGCTTATCCTGTAATTTATACTTTTCTTTTTTAAAACTATCTACTACATATTGCTAACATTTACAACCATGTTCGACTTTCAAATAAAACATAAATATTTCATTGCAGGATTTATCGCCAATTTAGGTGCTAAGTAAATCTATAAATCTTCACTAATAGTTCTTTGTTTTGCAGCAACAAGTAAAAGAACGAATATGATTGCACTTCTTCAGTTGTGTATTCTGGCTTTGGTGTCTTACTATCAAATAGTCGCTGCTGTTGAGGTGACAATAAATGGACGTGCTCAATTCGATCTTGCTGGTAGCGAATTTGCTGAATATGTTGACCAACAAATAGAACAGTTGAGACAATTCAGATATGAAGGTAAGAGTTGTTGTCTACGTATTACATTAACTTTTTCATGTAATAAAAAAAAGAATTGAAAATAAACATTTCTTTGATTTCAACATATATCAGATTAGAGTGATAAACAATACTTTGGCAAAAACAATATTTTTTAAAAGAGAGACGAAAATACTTAAAGGGACTTTCAAACTCATAAGTCGACAAAAAACTGACAACTCCATTAAATTAGAGGCGATAGAAAGTAACAGATGTTCTAAATTCGTTGATCATTTAGAAATATGGAAACAAAGAGAAATAAACGGAAGTTAATGCATTAATTTCAAGCTCAACAGCGTCGATAGATGTAACGTTTCTTCATATCCATTCATCACCCGACATACGAATCCAGAATGTCCCGACAGGAAATAGGACGCAATTGGTAAATAATTCATTACTTTTTTAAAATTATATAAATCCAACGAACATATATAAATAACTATGAGAGGTGACGAAGTCTCTGTTATTCGTTAAGTCATAATCGAAAAAATCATATAGTATATTTATGATTATTTGCTGATATTGCTAATAATGATGCTTTATTGCAGGTTATATTGGCTGCTTTATTGATAAGCGCAGTAGACATCTGAGGCATCATAAAGGTAACTTCAAAGACATGAATCTGGAGAAATGTCGTGCATTGTGTACAAACTTCGAATATTTAGGCTTACAAGTAAGTACTCATATTCTGTAGGATGTTTTGTAATGTTCTTCTGTTCTGTGTTTCCATATTTTAGTATTTTTCTACAATCAAATTTCTTTTGTCTCTAAATGTGATATAACAAATATAAAAATCTTAGGTACACCAAACAAATTACTTAAAGCCTTTTCAATTTTTTTCTGTAGTTTGAAGTTTGACTATACCAGAAAACATTATTAAACAATATATTGTATTTTGTATATCAAATCTAGGGATTACGTTTATTGTTTAAAAGAGTATTTTCTATGTATTACTTTATAAAGATTATTTTTATGCAATTTAATTTTGCTTATAAAAACTTTTAGAATAGTAATCAAAATTTTACCCTTGACATACTTAAGTATAGTGTTGAAGTATTTTAACTATTAAAGAGCGCAAAAGATTCCTAACGTGTTTAGACCGTATTCGTTATGAGATTTGCCACATTTAATTCCTACTACTACTATCTATAATTGGAGAAGTTGTGTGCAGTTATCCCTACGTTGTGTCTGTTATACTTTCCTGATTGATTTGTCTAATGCAACAGTTGAAATAAATCATAAATATATATGTCAACAGAATAGTGACCAATGCTTCTGTGGAAACAAACTAAATGACAACAACTACCCAGGAGTTCCAGACACCCAATGTTCTAAGAAATGTAAAGGAGAATCTACCAGGATGTGTGGGGCTGGTTGGAGAAATTCTATCTACAGAGGTATAGTTATATATTTTTTTATTTTTATCTTATTTTTGTTGTAATTAAGTTTAATGTGCATCGTAGGATTAAAGGTATGGAGTTGCAAAGAATAGCAACTACGAAAATTATCGACAAAGTATGACATATAATGTCTTTATCGATTTTGACCCTTACCGAATCGACTCGTCGTCCCTCATGAACACATCGAAAGTCGCAGGCAAAGCAGTTTACCTGTATGCTAAACTTTCCAGAATTATAGACAAAGTATGACATATAATGTCTTTATCGATTTTGACCCTTACCGAATCGACTCGTCGTTCCTCATGAAAACATCGAAAGTTGCAGGCAAATCAGTTTACCTGTATGCTAAACTTTCCAGAACACCTGATACTATTACTGTTTTTATAGCAGTTCGTATTGACAAAACATTATACAACACAGTTTTGAGTGTTTGCTGTTCGTATGTCTTTTCTGGTTCTTCTGTTCGGCCGTTTCGTTATTTCTTTTATGGCCCTGCCAACAATGTTGAGTGGATAATTGACGATTGAATTTTGATGGTTTGTTATTTATCTATTAATATCCAGCTTCCTTTTTGTAGACACGTTGAAACGGATTTTTTAACGGGCTAGTTCTCAAGGCAAAGTCTGTAAAGAGACAGATCATCCTTCCCGACAACATAAATCAGACTTAAAGCCGATGAAACAACGTATGCGTAGATGAAAAGCAGCAAATACCAATCATAAATATAAAAATAAGGAGATGTGGTATGATTGCCGATGAGACAACTATCCACCAGAGTTCAATTGAAGTTGACGTAACCAATTAAAGGCATCCGTACAGACTTTAAAAATGAGAATATCCCATACCATATAGTCCGTTATAAAAGGCCCGGACATGAAAAATATGAATCCATTCAAAAGAGAAAACTAACGGTCTAATTTATAATTAAACAATTAACGTAAAACAAATATGATAGACATGAACAAACGATAACAATGAACTACAGTCTCCTGACGTGGCACAGGCACTTACATAATGTGGCGTTTTAAACATGCTTGTGAGCGCTCAACCCTCTCCTGATATGGGACAGTGGTGTAACAGCACGACACAAGAACAAAGTCTGATTTTACATGGTCTGTGATCAAAGTTAACCTTCGGACGAATTTATTAAGTGCACGTGTTGTTTTCATTATCCTCAACTTCATGAACTTCAGGCGAGCATACGGTCATCAAGGTGCAAAAACGGTTACCAAATGATAGTATTAACGTAATAATCTCTTTAACGACTGTAACAAGGAGGAATGTTATATTTGAAATAAGACTGCTATATACTTAAAAACTATATATCAATTGTGTAGCTCTGATAGACACGTGCACTTTCTGTGAACCACTACATATGTATATGAAGGTTTCCTTGTATAACGACAAACGTGATGATTTGAATATTTAGACTAATATCATCTGCATGAAGGGTATTGCATGTTTTTCTTTTTTTTTTTTTTTTGTAATCCCATTCCACAAACCTTTCACCGTTAAGTTGTATGTATTCGTGTTGTGTTTCAATGTTGTCCTTACGTGTTGTTGACAATAGGATTTCAATTTCTGATTAAACTCAATTAGTATGAAAAAAAATCTAGCGCAGGTTAAATGGGACGACTTAATTTTTCTTCAACATTCAATTAATTATGTTAATCATTTGTATTATATTCGTAATTACATAACAACAACTAGAAATATCTGTTTTAATTAATTATATTTTTATTTCAGTTAAACCATGAACATGATGAACTATCTATGAGACACAAGGAAGATATATTAGCATTTATTTTGAACGTATATCGGAAATATAAATTCTTTCATTTTCAAAACGGGTATAAATGTGTCTCAAAAGTGTATATATATATATCTAGTATCGTTTTAAGAACAATGTTAATGAATGCCGGGAAAACATGTTCATATCTGACCATATTTGTTATGAAATAAAACTTACTTTTCATTAGCCATTGGTTTTTGTATTCAATAAGTGAAGTATGAGTTCATTTACCCATTAAATATATACACAAAAACATAATGCTGACGCATTATTTTCATTAACTCACTGTTGATAACTATTTTGTTCTGACCTTCCAAATGTTTTGATTTGAGTGCCACTGGTGTGTCTCATGAAGACGACACGTGTCTGGTGTATCAAATAAAAATGAAAAAAACACGTTATAAATTTCATGCGTCTGAAGCGCTTTTCTGGATTAACCTTCATCAGGATCACTCAAACCCGAATGTTTGAAAGTAAAAAGAATGTATTAAAACTGAAACAGTAGAAGACCTATATGATCAAAAAGGACCCAAAAAATAGCCAAATCCATTGAAGGTCAATTTTGCCTGAAACAGTAAATGTTCATAAATGTAAAGCAATATTATTTATATTATGTTAGCAGTTATCTCTGATCCCTTCAGTCAAACAGTCAACATTATTATACAAAAAAAAACTCATTAAAAATATCAGGCTCATAATTTTGCTCGGCTTACATTATTATGTACTTATTGTCGGTTGTCATAACAAACTAGTAGAAATGATCAGTACAGTTCATAAAACAAATCAAATGTATAAAAAAAGAATTATTATGGATATTTTATATAAATAAGAAGATTTGGTATGAGTGCCAATGAGACAACGCTCCATCCAAGTCACAATGTATAAAAAGTTAATAATTATAGGTCAAAGTACGGTCTTCAACACGGACCCTTGGCCCGCACCGAAAAGCAAGCTATCATGGGCCCCAAAATGACTAGTGTAAAATAATTCAAACAGAAAAACCAACGGTCTTATATATATATAAAACGAGAAATGAGACACACTTATGAACCACACCAACAAACGACAACCACAGAACAACAGGCTCGTGAAAGTCTGTATATTTATAAACAGATTTCAAGCGTCGGCTAAAATATTTTGACAGTGAATACATTAACGAAAAATACACTTACTGTTTCAATATGATATAGTGCTCTAAACTATTGCCAAAGAAGTACAAATCAAATAGTCAAAATCTTGCATAAATGTGTCATTTTACCGAATTAAATGTTATTACATGGCTGTATAAAAAAGTGTATATTTTAAGCAAAAACAACATTTCTATAAAGGAACGTACGTTAAACATTCAATATTAAAGATCAGACTATTTGATTGTAAGGCCAATTAGTCCCCAAATTGCACTAATGAAAAAATTGAATATTTAAAAGGAAGAAACAATTTCATTGCTTTAAAAGTTCTAAGTAGGAAATCAAAATTAATTTTCAAAAACAGAATGTAAGACCTAATAGTAACAGTTTAAACCTGGCTGTGTCTTTTAGTGTTTATAGATTTATAGAAAGATTTGAAGGTCGCCCTTTAACTTGTTTGGTTTGATTACAACATAGCAAAAATCACTAGTTTGAAAATAACGTCTTTTATTCAATTGCTACCAGTTAAGATAAAATTTAGAATGGAAATGGGGAATGTGTCAAAGAGACAACAACCCGACCACAGAACAGACAACAGCAGAAGGCCACCAACAGGTCTTCAATGCAGCGAGAAATTCCCGCACCCGGAGGCGTCCTTCAGCTGGCCCCTAAACAAATATATATACTAGTTCAGTGATAATGAACGCCATACTAAACTCCAAATTGTACACAAGAAACTAAAATTAAAAATAATACAAGACCAACAAAGGCTAGAGGCTCCTGACTTGGGACAGGCGCAAAAATGCGGCGGGGTTAAACATGTTTATGAGATCTCAACCCTCCCCCTATACCTCTAGCCAATGTAGAAAAGTAAACGCATAACAATACGCACATTAAAATTCAGTTCAAGAGAAGTCCGAGTCTGATGTCAGAAGATGTAACCAAAGAAAATAAACAAAATGACAATAATACATAAATAACAACAGACTACTAGCAGTTAACTGACATGCCAGCTCCAGACTTCAATTAAACTGATTGAAAGATTATGTCTTCATCATATGAATATCAGGCACAATCCTTCCCGTTAGGGGTTTAGTATCATACCATCATAACATATATGAGAAGAACATAACCCGTGTCATGCCAACAACTGGTTTTTAAATAAATGTGTTTAGTGCCGATGCAAAGACCCTATAAGTGAATCAATATTAACGCCAAAATATGCAATCTTTAATGACCTGACAACAGTATCGTAACTATATCCCTTCTTAATAAGTCTATTTAGAGGTTTTGTTAGTTTCAGAGGTGAATACTGACATTTTTGTGCTTTATAAAGAATATTTCCATAAAAAATTGGATGTGAAATACCTGAACGTATAAGAAGTCTGCATGTTGAGCTATATTTACGAATGATGTCCTTATACCGATGATAAAATTTAGTAAATGTTTTGACTAGTTTGTGATATCGAAAACCCTGGTGTAATAATTTTTCAGTAATACATAAATTTCTCTCGTTAAAATCTAAAACATTGTTACATACACGAGCGAATCGTACAAGTTGAGATATATAAACACCGTAAGATGGTGACAAGGGAACGTCACCATCTAAAAATGGATAATTAACGATAGGAAATGAAAAATCATCTCTTTTATCATATATTTTAGTATTAAGCTTTCCGTTAATGATATAGATATCAAGATCGAGGAAAGGGCAGTGGTCATTGTTAGTATTAGCTTTATTTAAAGTTAGTTCAACAGGATAAATTTCTTTAGTATACATACTGAAGTCGTCATTATTGAGAGCCAAAATATCATCCAAATATCTAAAAGTATTATTAAATTTGTGTATCAGATGTTGTTTCGATGGGTCTTTACTGATTTTTGTCATAAATTGTAACTCATAGCAATACAAAAAAAGGTCCGCAATAAGTGGTGCACAGTTAGTCCCCATTGGAATTCCGATAACCTGACGATATACGGAATCTCCAAAGCGAACAAAAATGTTATCTAGTAAAAATTCAAGGGCATATATAGTATCAAAGCATGTCCAATTGACATAGTTTTTTTGTTTATTGCTACTAAAAAATGACCTAAAAGAGTTTGAACATATATATTCACATTCTGACTTTTTAAATGCCCATTTAATTAGGTGTGTGAATTTTTTCTTAATGAGAATGTGAGGCAATGTGGTATATAGGGTAGAAAAATCAAAACTTTGAACAGATTCAAAATCACCAATATATGCATGCAATTTATCAAGTACTTCCAACGAGTTCTTGACACTCCAAAAGTAATTAATTCCACTATTTTCGAAGGCCTTATTTGAACAATTTATTATCAGGTTTTTGATTGTACCAAGTGTACTGGTAAGAAGAATAGACAATTTAGTAGTGGAACAATGGCTTGAAGACGAAATGAATCTATATTTGTAAGGTGTTTTGTGTAGCTTCGGAAGCCAATACATAGTTGGGACTTTCATTGTATTTGGTTCTGCTTGTAAAGCGGTAGCTAAAAGTTTATGTTTGTTACAGATGTCGTTTTCTGAAAATGGAGTCAGTTGGAATGTTGGTGAATTGGTGATTTCTTTTTTCAGAATCTCAATGTAAAATTTACGTCAAACAATAATAATATTATTACTATTAAGAGTATACTTCCATACCAGAGAGGTCCCTTTCCTCAAATATCAGTATATTAAGATATGTTACTGAAGACGTTTTACGACATTTAGCTTTTAATTTAAATCAATATTAATTCAAAAGAATCGATTTACAGTTCCCTTCGAATGTTTATGTTTCCTTTCGAAGATCGGTGTTTTTTCTAGGTACTCTGAATTCCTCCACCAAAAACTGCCTCCCACAATATAGCCAAGCAAGAGTGCTCAAAATTGCGTTTAAAACAACAATCAATCAATCGAACTTTATAGTCAAACAATTTATCAATCTGTATATAACATAGTTATCTAGTCAAAATGCCTGACCCCATGACACATTATAATCTTGCATACAGCATGTAATTCCTGTTCATCAAAGTTACAGAGAACCAGTGTAATCAATTTAAATATCATATTGCAATTTTCAGTAGTTTAAAAAAGAGCTCTTCTTTACGAAGTTTAATAATCTTCTTTATATTTATCAAGACAAACAATAATATTCTCCTTCCGGAAAACAATATATTTTGTCTTAAAAGATATCCGTTACATCTTAAATAGGAAATAAAACAAATTATTCAAGGTTTAAACTAGTTTCCGAAAGGGAATTGACATAATTTATAAATAATCAGTCAGATTGTTTTCATACACCTTAAATTTGAAGAGCTCAGATAAGCTTTTAACTTGTTAGGTTATAATTTAAATTAATTATCGTATACCTTTATACGCAACGTTATATATTTGTATGCCTTATTAATATTACTCACACATGCTCATCTTGTAATTTATACTTTTCTTTTTTAAACTTTGTACTACATATAGCTGACATTTACAATCCTTTTCGACTTTCAAATGAAAAACAGTTTGTTTTTCCCTCAGCGGGTTTCGAACCCTTGCTTCTGTGACATCGTGGCAACACCGCCTATAGTGTCCTAGATCACTCGACCACCTAGGCTACATAAAAATATAGCTTTCGGTGGTCGATGTGATGCTTTTCCTTGTCGACTTTATCTAGGGTTGTAACACAGTACATGATGTATAGTGGCAAGTAGATGGTGTACCTTTCAGATCAGCTATTTTGTCTGTCGTAAAGGATGATAATGTTACTTACCATGTCGCCACATCAAATTTTAATTTTGATATAACCATGATAACCGTCTAAACGAAATATATATATATATATATTATGGGTTAGAGTATAGAAATAAAAAGGTGTGGTATGAGTGTCAATGAGACAACTCTCCATCCAAGTCACAATGCGTAAAAAGTAAACAAATATAGGCCAAAGTACGGCCTTCAATACGGAAACTTGGCTCACACCGAACAAGAAGCTATAAAAGGCCCCAAAGTGACTAGTGTCGAACATTTCAAACAGGAAAAACAACGATATAATCTATATAAAAAACGAGAAA